CGCGGCGGCGGAGACCCACACCCGAGCTTGCCTCAGCTTGCCCTCCCGCGCCGCCCCTTCCCGTCTGGGTGTCAGGAGCTGGGCTCGGCACTTCACCCCTTCGTTTCTTCAGTAGCGGTGAGAGGGGAGAGATTGCCATCCCCGTCTTACTGATTAAGACTCCCAGGCTGGGTCCCGAAAGGGCCTTGTCCCTGTCATGCCGCCAGTAAGCAGTGGGCCGAGGGGAACCCGTTAGGAGCCGGGAGAAGGGATGAACTGCATCTGATCGGCGTTTCGGCGCTTCCTAGCCACCGATGCCGTGTCTTACCGCCCGTTTTCTCACAGCGTTTGGGGCGGGATGCCTTTCATAACTTCCTGCAGCCATAACGCGGGCGGACAGTGTTGCAGCTCTGCCGTCCATTCCCAGCAGTTCCCTGGGATGCACTTGACAGCGGAGACCCCTGAGAAATACCTTGCACACCTAGTCCCTTCCTTCCCCAGTCCTTGCTGAGGGCCTTGGCATCCGTGCTGTGGAGTGTATGCACTTGTGGGTTGTTCGTGTTTCTGTGTTTTTCTGCAGAGGCGAGGGAAGCTGAAGTGTCCTGAGCATGTTGTGCGTGTGTGGTGGCCAAGCTTGGCTGCCACACAGACTCCAGGCAGAGGGAGCTGGGGTTGGGAAAGGGGTGCAAGGGAATAATTTCGGGCTAGGTCACAGCTTGGAGTAGAACCTGCTCCTGCCCCAGCCTGCCTGACCGCAGCCTTCCCACGGCCTCCACTTTGGCCAGCGTCCTTGTTTTCTCCACCACTCTACTCTGGTCCCTTCTGGTTGACTTTGTCCCTTAGTTCTGGGAGCCCACGCTGTCCTTGTGTTGCCTCATCTGCCTGTGGTCCCAGCCCTTCTCTGCCCCCACACTGCTGTCAGGGCGTCTGGGTTATTTCTTCGGCTTTCAGGCTGAGCCTGTGATCTGGCGTGGAGAGATGCACTCTGCACCTCACAGCCTGCGCGCCGTCTCTGGCATCTCCAGTCGCTGTCTGTTAACTCCGCTCTGGCTGCCTTCTTGCCTCGGGACTTTCGCAGCGGCTGTCCCTCTGTCTGGGACACTGCCTCCTGGTTCTGCATGCCTGCTTGGCTCCTTTTCCTCTGTTCTGTCTCAGCTCAAGTGCCACCCACTCAGAGCATGCTTCGTTAGTCGCGTCGACTCCTGCGTCGTGTTCTGCCGTGTTGTATTAGCTTAGAGTTTTCAGATAATCCTTAACAACGATAATGTGGCCTTATCTTTTGTGGATATTAGTTTAATATAGAGCACATTTTACTTCAAAATGAAAAGCCAGGTACAAACAGTGCTGGAACTGATAGAAATTGGTTTTAGCCACAAGTAACAGGTACATCTGAGACAGCGACGCGAATGGTGTTTGTAGACAGCTGGTGGTTGGATTGGCATTGTCAGAAGCTCAGAACTGTCACTGGACTGAGAGGATTCTTTTATTATTATTATTTAACTTTATTTATTTGTATTTTAATTTGACCAGAGAGGGACAGCGTGAGACAGAGAGGGAACGTGAGAAAACAAGACACCATGTCCAGGACTCAAACTGTGGTTGGCCACATGGGAGTCCAGTGCCCTCAACCGCCATGCCGCCTGCCGGCCCGGGACTGAGGATCCTGTTTGCCATCATCAGATTCTCACTGTCAGTGACCATTGTCTTGCCTTTTCCCACCTCCCCATTTGGCTCCAGGGACCTTTGCTGTTTGACCCTGGGGCTCCCTTAGCGTTCGGGGCACCGCCCATCTGTTTTAATTGTGAGAGAGCGTGTGTGCTTGACAGAGAGAGAAAGGGGCAGGACAAAGCATGCTTGAAATCCCTTACCACTTCTCGCTGCGATTTTGGACACCCATGGATACATGCCTGACATGTTTTTCAGGCTTCTGGGACTAGTACTCACAACCTGGTCAGCTGTGTGGAATCGGCTTTTTCTGGACAGTATGTAACCACTGTACTGTGGGACTGGCTTGTGTTCATGAATTTTTATTGCTCTATTTTTCTTTTTATTAGCTTAAAAGTTATGTCTTCTTTTCTCATTTCTTTCTTTTCTTTTCTTTTTGTTAGAGACAGAGATGGGGAGAGTGAGGGAAATGGAGTGATCAGAGAGAAGCTTTATTTATTTATTTTTTTTTGGCGGGGGGAGAGGTTTTTGCTATAGGGTGCATGTGCTCACCAGAGAGACAGAGAGACAGAAAGTGAGAAATCAACCTCAGGGGGATGGCCACACCGCAATCCCTTCTCCTCCATTCTCCTCTCAGAATCTTGGGCACGCACGTACACACACCCGGCATGAGTTTAAACCACCAGGTCCAGGACTCGAACCGTAGTTGGCTACATGGGAGTTCAGCAACATAGCCATTATACTAGCTGCTGGTCCCAGAGAGAGGCATTTTTGACAGGGTCTTGCCATGTCACCATCCTCCTGCCCTGGCCTCCCAGTTAATTAGGATCACAGGCATGTGCAGCCGTGCCCAGCATGTTCTGTCGGCCCAAGGACCCAACCTGTGCCTACCACGTGGCTTCCAGCTCCACAAGCAGTGGTGCTATCTGTGTGCCACCCCAGCTGGGTCTCCTCAATTTTTTAGTGGTCACTAGAATTTATAGAATTTATAGAGTCTGTTTATAGCTAGAGTTTAAAATATGCACCATGTTTTACCAAAGTCTAGTAGTGTGTACTTTTACCTTCTTCCTTAATAGTGCAGATGTCTTAGGACACTTGAACTCAGCTTACCCCATCGCTATAATTTATTTTGATCCTTTTAGTTTTTAGATCACACAGAACATTGCATTTGCAGTTGAATATTTATGCATACTTTGCATGTTCATACTCTGCATATTTACTGTGTTTATTCTTCGTTCCTTCCTGGACCTCTGACTTTGCACCTGGGTCTGGATCATTCTCCTCCTTCATGAAGAATGAGAGACAATGTGAGTCTGCTGGTAATGAATTCTAGTTCTTGTTTTATTTTGTCTGAAAATGTCTTAATTTCAGCTTCATCCTTGAAGGATTGATTTCTAAGTATAGAATCCCATGTTGGCCTCACCTTCTTTCATCTCCAAATACATCATTTCACTCTGTCATTGTCTTGCTCCCAGTATTTCTGTTGAGAACTCAAATATGAGGCCAGTTGTTGCTCCTTTGAAGATAATCTGTCTTTTCCCTTGGTTTCTTTAAAGGTGATCTGTTTTTCTTGGTTCTTGCATCTCTCCCCGTTTTTATGCCTACATATGGCGTTCATTTTATCCATCTCCTTTAGTTTGTAAAACTTTTAAAGTTCGTGGCATAATGTCTTTGAATTGATTTATTCTTCCTTTGCCCTGTTCTCGTGTGACTCATGGAACTCCAGATGTATAGATTCTCTTACGCCTTCCTGCTTTTTACCCACAATTCTGTTCTCTCTGCTTCATTCTGGTTATTTTTATCTGACTGGCCTCAAGTTCACTGATGCTCTCTTCAGCTGTTTTTAATCTATTGTTAATTCTATCTATTATGTTGTTAATTTTAGTTATTGTGTTTTTTCTCTTTAAATTTGTTAGAGGGCCTGTGTACTCACCAGAGAGAGAGAGAGAAAGAGAGAGAAGAGAGATAAAGTGAGGAAGCACCCCCCTGAGGAGATGACCATGCATTAGTCCTTTCTCCTGTTTTCTCCTCTCTGAATTTTGAGTACACACACACGTCTGGTGTGTTTTTCAAGGCTCCAGGTCCAGGAGTTGAATGGTGCAGTGAGCAGTATGGGATACAGCAGCCTTAAGCACCATGCCACCTTGCTAGAATAAATTCTGGAAAATTTCTAGTGTGATTTTTTTGTAAAAGAACTATTTAATTTATTTGTTTATTTTATTTAATTTGACTAGAGAGAGAACGTGAGAAAGCAAGCAACCAGGTCCGTGACTTGAACCTTGGTCGGCCATGTGGGAGTGTCCAGCATCTTAACCACCATGCCACCTGCTGGTCTCTTCTAGTGTGGTTTTAAAATATTTCAATTCTTTGCCAGTATTCTCGATTTTGTCTGTTATATCCTTGAACATAGTGAACTCGTTATTTGGAAGTCTGGAGTTCCTGTTGGCTTGTTTCCTTTTTCTTTCTCACTTGATTTCTCACTTTCTGTCTCTCTCGTTCTGTCTCTCTGTGTACCTGATTATTTATAATTGTGTGCCAGATTTGTACAGTCGTTTATGGGAATACTTGAGGCCTGAGTGGGACCGAGAGGACTTGGAGCTGAGCTGCAGTCCTTGGGGACTTTGTCACTCGCGCTCCCCTTTGGGCTGCAGTCTGTGTATAGACCCATCCCTGAGCAAGGCCTTCCACCACTCTCAGATTCCTGTCCTTGGGAGCCGGTGCTCATGACCTCTCAGCTGCCCCCTTCCAGAATCTGCAGATATCCCAAGAAGCAGTTAACCGTCAAGAAATGAGAATGGGGCTGGCAGGTGGCTTGGACTCCCACACGGCAGACCATGGTTTGAGTCCCAGACCTGCTGACTTGCTTCCTTACTTGCTCCCTCTCTCTCTTACTCAGTCCTTCTTTGGCCAATTTAAAATAAATAAATTCAGTTTAATAAAATAATTCTTTAAAAGACAAAAAAAAGGACTGAGAATGTCCTGAGGTCTTTCACTGCCTTTGAGCTGTCCTGTGGTTCCTTGCCAGCTCTGTGTTCTCTGGGCCAGGCTCGGCTTGTCACCTGGGTTCCTTGTGCCTGGCCAGAACAGCGAGTCTGTGAGTCAGCGAGTACATGACAGATTGCCCACGTCGGGACACACTGCTTTTATTTTTGATTTGAATTTTTTCTGATTACGGAAGTATGTTCTTTATACACTATTCAGATAGAGAATAAATATTCTCTATAAATCCCTTCTCAGACTTATCCGTCAGCACTGGTTCATGTTCCGCAACTTCATTTCTTCTAAACATAGACTAGTTTTTGTAATGAGAATATAGCACTGGTGCCGTCTGCAGCCTTCTCTCTGTTAGTGTCTTTGGTATATTTAAGTATAAGTGCTTCTCGGATCGGCCTCATTTTCTTAAAAGCTGCCTCAGTCAGGCCAACAGGTGGTGTGGAGGTTGGCACTGGATTCTCACGTGGTTTATTGTGGTTAGAGTCCCAGCAGCTTGAAAATCACAACAAACACATAGATGAATGAATAAATGTTTAAACAGAAATAACAAAAAAGGAGTGTGGCAGTGAGGTTGTCCCAAGAAAATGGGGCCGTTTCTAGTCTAGCTGGGTGAGTGCTCTCTCTCACCCTCCTTGGCGTTAATGACCTCAGTAACTGCCCCTCTCGGGGTCGGCAGTGTCTGGTCACAGCTTGACCTTTGGGTTGTTACATACGTTGTCCCATTGACTGTAGGCTAGTGATACTCCACCTGTCTGTGGAGCTTCTGCCGGTCTCTCGATTCCTTCAGCCCTCCGGGCAGGCTTTCCTGTGACAGGCGACGTGCTGTTGAGGCCCAGCCACCGCCGGCCACCGTGCTCATGCCGGAACCACAGCGCCGGTTCCCCACCGCCCCTCTCGTCACCTTGGTTTTGCCACAGAAGGAGCAAGTGTACTTGGTGTGCTGGCTGAGTTCAGTTTTCTTCACCATTGTTCCTGAGGGCGCGCCTCAGCTCCTGCGGCCTGGCAGCTCCTGCCCCGCTGCCGGGAGACCTGTACCCGGAGGGCCATCGGGTGCTGGCCCAGCGCCGGGCCCCCCGGTGTCCTGCTTAGGGTCTTTGAAGGTATCTCTTCAGAAAGCAAAACCGTGAAGATTGTGCAGCAGAGACTGCACCATAGCGGGACTCAAGCCATTGTCCGGGTCTCATGCTCTGGTCAGCCATGTGAGAGTCCAGTGCCTCAACCACCAAGCCACCGGCTGGCCTCCTAGCTTTCTGGTGGGTCTTTGTTTAATCGCTTGCCCACATTCCCATCAGTAGACTGTCCCTAACTGTGCTCTTGGGAAGTGTGTATCGACACCTTAGTTTCCAGCTGCAGCTTCCTGTGGGGTAAGGCCAGGCTGACCCCGTGCCAGTGTAGGCAGCCCTCTGCCGTGGGGGTGGGGGTGCCCAGCTCTGCCTCCGTGGCTGCCTTCATGGCTGTCAGGGAGCACCTGTTTCTGCCACATCACAGTGGCCCAGAGACCCCACAGCAGTGCCCAGCCTTGGTGCAGGTGAGTGCCAGGCTGGGCTGTGTTTGCAGGAGGGAGGAGATGTGCAGGACAAGGGCTGGGCTTTGGAGTCAGACAGACCTGGCTGTGGGTCCCGGCTTTTCCCGCTTCGGAGGGTGGTTAGAAGTGGAGACAGTGGGGGAGGGAGACTAGAAAGGAGACGGTGCCGATTACGCTCAAGGCCTGAGCGCTGTGGGGCCGAGGCAGCTCCGAGTCCAAGAGCTGGGACGGATCAGGGCCGTCTGCCTATCTGTTTAGCCATGGGCAGGTTATCTTGCTTCTGATTCTGTGTGTTTCCCTGTGACCTCTGTTATGCGGGTAGGTGTGGTAACGCTGCCGTGAGGTCCGAGGGCGGGAGCAGAGGAACTGGATGCATGGCTGACCAGGTCTGGCCGGCACTGGAAGAAGTGAATCGGTGTGTGAGAACGGGCCAGCCCCGTGCTGCAGGGTCAGTGCCGTGCAGAGGAAGCTGGATCCCACGTGGCTGACCAGGACTGAGTCCCAGCCCTGCTGGTTTGAAAGGCATGCGGGGCATGTGTGGCCAGGGCCCCGGCAGAGTGGAGCTGGAGGAAAGCCCTGGCGTGGTCAGGCTTTGTTGGAGGAATACGCTCTCAATCTCCCCCCTTCTCCCCACCCATCTCTCTGTCTCTCAGGCATGTGCCCTTTTATTTAAAAAAATAGAGCTGCTGGCTCAGGAGGAGCTGGGGCCTAGGCGGGTGGAGTCGGCCTCAGGTAACCTGGGGGACTGTGTGCCTCCCACCCAGCGCCTGGGGGGACCAGCAGCCCCTTCTCTTCTTGCTGAGAGCTCTCGGGGGCAGGGCCCATGGTCAGTGGCATTTGTGGCCCTGTGCCAAGGAGGGTCTAGTCTTGGTGGCCTCGGGACAGGGTCTGGCTAGCTCACAGGCCCCAGGAGCTCTGAGCCGTCCCTTCCCCCCGCAGCCTTGCTTCCTCAAGGACTGGGAGATGCACGTCCACTTCAGAGTCCACGGCACAGGGAAGAAGAACCTCCATGGAGACGGCATCGCCTTGTGGTACACCCGGGACCGCCTGGTGCCAGGTGGGCAGAGCTCGCCTGGGCATGGGGTGGGCAGGGGCTTGCCTCAGCTCCTGTGGCCTGGCAGTGCCTGCTCCGCTGCCGGGAGACCTGTACCCGGAGGACCATCGGGTGCTGGCCCAGCGCCGGGCCCCCCGGTGGCCTGCTTTGGGTCTTTTGAGGGTATCTCTTCAAAAAGCAAAAGCGCGAAGACTGTGCAGCAGAGCCCACCCGTGACCTGAGAGCCTCGAATTCCGTGGCCCTCTGTGGAACTTTTGCTGGTACCTCTGTGGGGTTCGTTTCTCCTACGCTGGTACCTCTTGGTGCCAGCCAGATGGCTGTCCCCCCACAGTGGGGACTTCAAACTGGAGTCGTCTCTGCCGTGCCCCTGAGCACTGCCCCCAACCCCGCCCGGCCTCAGCTTGCTTCTCTGGAGACCCCTGTCCTGGCAGGGTCCGGGCTGCCCCGCCCTCCACAGGCACTGGTGGCCCTTCAGGTGACCGTGGGGCAGCCTCTCCTCCTGTCATGACAGCGTCTCCCTGTAATTCCAGGGCCCGTGTTTGGAAGCAAAGACAACTTCCATGGCTTAGCTGTCTTCCTGGACACGTACCCCAATGACGAGACCACGGAGGTAGGCCTCTCGCCCCTGCGCAGCCGGCCAGAGGGTGGGGCTCCTGCACAAGAGGAGCCTGGGGTGGGGATGGCTTGCTCCCAGCGGCGGCTGACCGGCGTCTTGGTCCCAGCGAGTGTTCCCGTACATCTCGGTGATGGTGAACAACGGCTCCCTGTCCTACGATCACAGCAAGGACGGGCGCGGGACTGAGCTCGCGGGCTGCACGGCCGACTTCCGCAACCGGGGCCACGACACCTTCCTGGCCGTGCGCTACTCCCGGGGCCGTCTGACGGTGAGCGGGGGCGGGGAGGCCGCAGGCCCAAGGGTCCGAGGCCGGCGGCGCCCCCGGTGCTTGACATGCCGGCCACGCAGGTGATGACGGACCTGGAGGACAAGAACGAGTGGAAGAACTGCATCGACGTCACGGGGGTGCGCCTGCCCACCGGCTACTACTTTGGAGCCTCGGCCGGCACGGGGGACCTGTCTGGTGAGTGCGGGGCTGGGAGCCCTCGGCACGCGGGCGCCTCCCCTCGTTTGGTTTCCGTGCTCGCCGGCCTTTCTCCCCCGTCCCTAGCCTGCCCGTGCGCATGCCCACCCCGTCAGTGCCCTCGTCTCAGGAGCCCGGGAGCTGTAGACGCCCGGTGCTCTGTCCAGCTGCCCTCTGTAGGTCCGCCCGCAGCCCTCCTGACCCCATCGACCCATCGCAGTGGGAGGGCACCTCTTTGCTTCTGTGTGCTCAGGCCCCAGAGCCTCTTGTCATTCTGGGCTCTTCTTTCTCTCATCCCATTGGGTCCTGCTGGCTTGGCTTCGTAGTGTGTCCCCCACTCCTCTGTCCCACTACTTGGCTCCGAGCCGCCATTGTCTTTCACTTGGACGGCCACAGGAACCTCCCAGGTGGTCCCCTCCTTCCATGTCCGTCCCAGCCGTGTCCGTAAGCTGGCATGAACTCTCGCACGGTGGCTGTCATCTCGGTCAAGGCCATTGTCCCAGCAGCAGTCCCCCAGCTGTGTGCACTAGCCCCTCCCCACACTTGTCCCTGGCAGCTTGACCCCCCACGATGGCGTCCAGGCGTTTGCAGACACACCCGTGCCTTCCCGCCATGGCCCTCGCGTCGCCGCCTCGCCCTCGCCTCCCTAGCCTTGCTCAGACACGACCTCTGCAGGGGCCCCATCCCAGCTCCTCTCGGGGCCGCACCCGTCCCCGGATCTACCTTACGGCTTATTTTGTCATCTCTGTGTCCTCCCCTAAATCGTAAGCTCCGGTTGTGGAGTGTTAAACTCTGAGGGACTGGACCCCACACGGCCAGCTGTGGTTCAGGTCCTGCTCCGGGGCGGGAAGACTGCCGGCATTTGCACATGCGTGCCCAGGGTGCTGCTGGGCAAGGGAAGGAGAGGAAGGGGCTGTGTGACCGGGCCCTGCTGGGCGTGCACTCTCCCTGGTGCACACATGTGCCCTCTGACATTAAAAAAGCACTGAGTCCACAAAGCCTGGGATCTGGCTCGTGCAGCGCGATCGTGGGGGCCCTCGGCTGGTCTGTCTGCATGTGCGTGCTGTCTGCCCGGCGGTCGGCCTCCGTGTTGTTTCCACATTCGTGGACTCACCACGATGACCGTGGCCGCTGGAGATTACCGTTCTGTTTTACGAAGGAAGAAACTGCCTTAAGGGGGGCAGACCGGACCTGAGCTATGTGATTTCACTTGCTACGTCCCCACCTTTTCCCTCCCCTCTGCCCACCCCCCCGTTTTGTACTGCTTAGTTTGGGGAGCATGCCACCCTCTGAAGTTCTCCCTGCCTGGGGCCTGCAGGTAGCTGAGAGGACAGCTGGGTGGGCAGGGACATTGGCCCTTGGGGCCTGCAGGTAGCTGAGAGGACAGCTGGGTGGGCAGCCAGATGTGGAGGGTGCGGCAGCCTCTCTTCTGGGAGCGGCTTTGACCACGTGCTGTGAGCTGGCCTGGCCTGGCACACACCGACTTTCGGTCCTGCAGACAATCATGACCTCATCTCCATGAAGCTGTTCCAGCTGGTGGTGGAGCACTCCCCCGATGAGGACAGCATCGACTGGACCAAGATCGAGCCCAGCGTCAGCTTCCTCAAGTCCCCCAAAGGTATGCGTGCATGGCCCTTCCCTGCCTGGCCTGGACGACCTGGGCACGCGGGCACCTGCAGGGTGAGTGCCCGTCCAGTGGTGGTGGTCGGGCTGGCCCTGCCTGAGCTCTGTGGGGCTTGGGGTCAGGTCCACTCCAGCCAACTTTTGAAAGTCAGTGTCCAGAGAAGTCTGCCGTGTGTCCACGAGGGTGTCCTTGCTGTGGTTTCCGTGTGGCAGGTGGCGGCTGATCAGCCGTTGCTGGGAGAACGGCCAGCCAAGCCGAGGGCACCAGTGCACATGTGGGTGGGTGCTGGGCCCCCGGCCCACTGCACTTCACCTCTGGGTGCCTGGACATGGCCCTCCCGGTGGCCGAGGGGACCCATCCCTCAGCCATCCTCAGCTTGAACCGCAGAGGCAGGGTTTGAACCTGGGTCTTTGCAAGACCCCAAAGACCAGGCTCTCCCACGGCAGATTAGCTGCCATCTCGCCCTCAGATTGGAGGAATGGGGTGTGGAGCAGTCCGCCGCAAAAGCCCCAGGCTTGTGCTCGTGGGCCCAGGAGGACTGAGGGGCCTCAGGCTGCCCCAGGTCCCAACAGCACGTGTCTTTCTACTTTCAGAAGAAGCCAGAGTCCAGCGTTGGTGTGACGTTCCACTTTTATAACATTGGGATTGCTCTTAACTGTTTTGGGGCCCAACAAAGGCTCCCGCAGGCCCCCATGTGCAGCCCGTGGTCACAGGGTCTGGCCTTCAAGGGCTTTCAGGGCCGTCATCCACTGTGGCCTCAGCACCCTCTGGCTGGCAGGCAGGGGCGAGCTCCTCGCAGACTCATCGACTCATTCGTCCCTCAGCAGAGGTTGCCCTGGTGTCCATCCTGTGCCTGGCCACAGGCTGGCAGCTGTGGGAGGCCGAGGGCGAGGAGGGCCTGGGGACCAGGAAGGCCCAGCTGGCCAGAGAAGCACCTAATGCAGGGACCTCCTAGGGCAGCCAGGGCTGTGACTGGGCTGAGGCAGAGGGGCCGGGGCATGTGGGATGGCAGGCAGGAGGGGAGGCGGGCAGCTGTGCTGGCCTCGTAGGAGGGCAGCGTGGAGGACACAGGCCAGGCCCAAGCTGAGAGTGAGACCAGGGCCTGAGGCCTGAGCAGACCCCAGGGTGGAGGGTGGAGGGCGCAGAGTGGCAGAAGCAGGCCCTACTGGACACCAGCTCCTTCACTGCCGACCTGGTGAGCTTAGGAAAGTTGTTTCCCTCTCGGGCTCTGAAAGGAGCTCCGGGAGAGTCGCGTCCAGGGCAGTTCAGATCCGAGCGATGCCCTGTGTGGGGCCCAGCGCCCAGCAGGGTGAGCGCAGGTGGGCAGAGGAGGCTGGTGGCTGCAGGGCAGGGCGAGGGTGTGAGTGCAGGGCCCGGGAGACCTGGCAAGCTCCAGCTAGGCCCTGGACCATGTTTCTCCAGGGGCCTCAGCTGTGGAGTTGGCCTGGCTCCCTGTGTGAAGCCAGCTCTCCGAGGGAGCCCAGGGTTAGTTTTAACCAGTTTCTTGCAGCAGAAAGGGCCAGAGCCTTGGTCTGCAGAGCCCGGGTCCCAGTGGGATTTGCCCCTTTGCACCCGCTCTGCCCCGCACGGGTAGCTGGGAGAGGACATGGCCTTCCCACCGGCGCTCTCCGGGCCCCACCGCGCGGCGGTGGTGTGTGGCTCCACCCGTGGCCACCCGGTGCGGCCGTGCTGGAGGGCACCTCTCACTCCTCCATCTCTGCTGCCCTTCCCCGCCCTCAGACAACGTGGACGACCCCACGGGGAACTTCCGCGGCGGCCCCCTGACTGGGTGGCGGGTGTTCCTGCTGCTGCTGTGTGCACTGCTGGGCATCGTCGTCTGTGCCGTGGTGGGTGCCGTGGTGTTCCAGAAGCGGCAGGAGCGGAACAAGCGTTTCTACTGAGTGGGTTCGGGGCCGCGGAGGGCTCAGGCCCGGCCCGACACCGATGTGAACTTTTTTTACTGGGATTGTAAAAAGAAAACAAGACGACTGTATTTCTTAACCGTTTCAAAGAAATGATTAAAGTATTTTCGTACATTTTGCTTCTTGCCCAGCGGGGTGAGCGGCCGGGCTGAGGGCAACCCCTCCTGCCGCTGGAGACAGGCACAGCCGAGCCTGCTGCTCAGGAGAGGCCTGTGTTGGGTCCCGAAGAGCAGGGCTCTGGGGACACTGGTGGCTGTCCCGGGGCACGTGGTGTAGCTGACGAAGCCGGGCCGGGCACCAGGCCTTCCCGCTTGCTTCCCAGGGCAGACCTGAAGGCCGTAGGAGCCAGAGTGACTGTGGAACGAGGAGGTCCCAGCTGTGGCCGACCGCCCATCCTCCAGGGCTCACTTTTTCTCCCCTGGGAGCTCCCAGCTGGCCGGGGCTTTACAGCTTCCTGGCACGTCCCCTCTGGCCTGCAGCGGAGCCCCGGGAGGGGAGGCTGTGGTTGCCTCATTTCCCAAGTGGGGGACAGCTCTCAGAGGTCACGCAGCGCTCGCCCGTGTCACTCAGCCGGGAGGCAGTGAGGACGGAACCCTGGCCGTCCCGTGTGCTCCAGCCTCTGAGCAAAGGGTGGGGTGGCACAGGGTTCCTACAGAGGCCGTGACGCAGCCCCTGGCTTGGGAGGGGACGCAGTGACCCTCAGGGTGGCTGCAGACAATGCATGCGGCCTGCTGGGTCAGGAGGGCAGCGAGGTCAGTCGTGGTACTCCACGGCACGCCCGGGGGGCCCGGGGCGGAAGCGGGCAGGAGAAAGGCCAACAGGGAAAGCGACACCACCTGGCGGCCTCCACCGTCGTCCCACCCAGGCCACAGCCTGCCTGTCCTGCCCTCCTGTCTGCCATTAAGGGACCGCGTCCCCACCCAACAGAGCCACAGCCCACCTGTCCCGACGCCCCCTCATACCTCTCGTCCCGTCCCCTTCCCATCCCAGTTCAGGACCACCTGGGCCTCTCATCCCAGCAGCGGTGGTCTGCCGTGCTCGGTGGCACTGGAAGCCGGGTGGGAGACGGTTCAGTTCCTGGGACAACCCGGGCTCCTTGTGACCAGACAGCCTTTTTCTTATTTGGGAAGTTTTTGCTATAGGGCATGTGCACTCGCCAGAGAGACAGAGACAGAAAGCGAGAAATCACCCCCAGGGGGGTGGCCACTCCACAACCCCTTGTCCTCCATTCTCCTCTCGGGATCTTGGGCACGCACGCACACGCGCCCGGCGTGAGTTTAAGCCACTGGACTGGGTCCAGGACTCAAACCGCGGTCGACTACATGGAAGTCCAGCGACGTAGCCATTACACTAACTGCTGGTCCCAATGACCGGCCACCCTTGACCTGGCTGACTGAGGAAGGCTGGGGAGACGATTGTGGTGTGACACTTGAGGATGCTTTTCTCGCTCTCTCAAGAGATAAACTTGAACAATAAAAACGAGACTGAACTTTCCTGTCACAACCAGGCCTTGTAATAACTGTCGAATGTCGGGGTGTCGGAAAAGTCATGGTGCATTTTTGTGTAGGAACGGTAAGTCGGACTTCCCGACCGCCCGGTAGACTCGGTACAGAACACACAGCTAGTACAAAAGCACGTGGCCTGGCCAAGCAGCTGCAGCCACACAGCCCACCGCCTGGCACGGCCGGCCGCGTGGCCCCGGCCCG